CATACGCGTGCACCCAATACAGTGTATTGGGTGCACGCGTATGCACAGGCAGACGTGTTTGTGCGTCCTAAAGCGCGTTGCTGGACTAGGCGATCATGCACAAACATAGAGACAAACGCACACGAAAGGGCATACGGATGACACACCTCGGAGTCATAGACACACGCAAAGCGTAACAAAGGCAGGCCACAAGGATCACGAAAAAGACACGATCGTGCGTGCGTGCGAGACGATAGACAGACAGACAGGTCGCATTTAAATAAACGAACGCAACCCAGTGTAGAGAGTATAGACACAAACACAAACAAGCATACTGACGCACTGACGCGAGAACAGAGACAATTATGGCGAGAGAGCGAGTGGGCTGACATCATGGTCTGCCTCACATTCGCTCGTTCGCTATCTCAAGGACAAGCAAACACAAGGCCGCCATCTTGTGCATTGGACCACCGGTTGGTTGGTTGGTCGATGCAAATGTGGGTTCAGGGTGTGAGACAGAGAGAGAGAGAGAGAGAGAGAGCGCGAGACGGCGTGTAGACCGATAAGGCTAGAGCAAAGGCCAGCGCAACGTTACGCACGCAGTAGAGGGTGACAGGAATCGACAGGACTGACGGGTTTGTTCTGGCTGTGCTGGCAGTTTTGTGCAGATGCGCAAAGTACCTTGTTTGTCCACGCATTAGCTCGCTTACGGGGCAGATCGAGAGCGTGAAAGGCCAGGGCGTGTCCGTGCGTTAGGACGAACTAAGCCTATCTCTGTCTCACTTCTCCTGGTGGATGAATACGACGTGGTAGTACACGAAGAAGACGATGGCGGCACGTCAGGAAGTGCGTGTATAACACTGGTGAATTGTGCGCAGAGATCGAGCTAGGCACGTCTCCAACACAATGGTAAAACGTCAGTCCCCGACGTGTTCGTGGTGTGGGTGTTTAGAGGGGTAAGGGACACAAATGCATTAGTGGTAAGAGTTACAAACGGACATGAGGGAAGAAACTTACACAATGCAAACAATGGTAACGCGAGAGCGATGGAAAACGGTACGGGGATCCACAAGTAACAGAGCAGAGATTAGCACTGAGACTTTAGAAGGTTCCAAGCAGGTCACCGACAGCGCGTAGGGGTAACAGCGAGCGAGAATATATACATACGAGGAGTAATGTGAAGAGCACGCGAAGCGGACGAGAAAAGATAGTTCACCGATCGTATGCTCGTCCCAATGTAACTAGTTTCTCCTCGCAAACACATACACACACGTACATAAACATGCGCCTCACAGCAATGCAACTGGAAGGGGGTATAGCAAACAAGGTATGTGATGAGTGCTACGAGCAAGTGGCGGTGGTGAGTAGAAAAACAGTTTCACTATTGCCATATGCAACGCTGGATAATCTGATGGCATACTATTGAAAGATCAGATTTACCGTTAAGAAACAGGAATTTTGATAAGCAGTAACCACGTATCAGCTACTGCATAAACCCCAACCAGTAGTGTGAATTATGAGGACAGATCTTCATGGTACCGCCCTTGTTGACCGGTTATACTAGCAACAAATTTCTACATTAGTCATTTGAACTGTATTCATTGTTTTTTTTTAGGTTCCAACAATCGTTAACCTTGCACCGACAGTTCTGGATGTTATCTTTTGACTATGCCATTTAGTTGTCTAACAATGGATCAACAAAATCACTCTTCCACTGGCAGCGAAATATCCTTTGTTTTATCCTTTCGTTCGTCACAGAAGGTTGACTAATACCCAATCTACGGTACCGAATGTGAATTAAAGCCAACGGCGAACCGTTCATCTAACTCAGGTTGTTGTACTCGACCGTTAGTATCCTGGCACACAAGACAATACCTGAGCCAACTTGCAAATGTTAAGCGTCGGCGAGTCACCTCTGTGATTGGAAAGACCCGGGAATAATTTTAAGCCATACGCTGGAAGGCTTTATTTGGTCCTCGCATCCTGATCCGTTGTTTTCTTTTTGCCCCTTTGGCTGTCCCCTGTAATCTTCCCAGGGATGCCCAAAAAGGACTTCAAGCTGTTCTCTAGATCCTAAATGCATCTACACAAAAGTAGCGGGATTTCCCGTAAAACCTCTGTCACTTTATCGCCTCACAACTCACAATCTCGTGTCACTTGTTATCCACAAAGATAATGAACAATTCTTCGCATCTGCTACACGTATATCTTATACAGGGTGTACTCTTCTTTCACCCGACCCCATTTTAACTGTACATTAGCTCGCACCAATACCTACTGGTCTTTTGTGGTGCCTTACCTTGCCCGATTTCTCATTTACTCTACTTGACTACTTCGTGAGCACGATTCGAGGCGGTTAGATAGCCTTGTGTGTGCGTATGCAAACTGCCTTGATGGAATGGGGTTCCCTATTATTGACAAACGTATGTAACCCAGAGTCCGGGTCAGGGTCTCCAAATCCTCATAACCATCCTCGACCTTTTTCTGTCCGCTATCTGCCTCGGAAAACAGTTTGTCTACTCCAGGGGCGGAGTAGATATCTAACAGACTGTTGGTGCAATGCGACTGATGAGATTACCGAGCAGTAATACACAAGGTGCTAGTAGCATGCACTAACCAATGGACCAGAAGAACACCACTGATAGATGCATGCATCCTTGGTTAGATGGTCAGAGGAACAATCAAAAACAATCAGGTATTGTAACGGTGGTTCAGGGACGATTCACCGGGCTGATCTATGTCGGTTGATGAGCCACCTAACACATAATCAGTAAGCGTTGATTTGAACATCACAACTTTGATAATCCGAATGTTGGGGCTAACAAGCGTTATAATGTTGGCATATGTATGTACGTGGGTGAGTTTAATGAAAAAGATCTCCAATACGTACACGCCTTTGGATGCATCACCAGAATCTAGTGTGATGAGCCATTTTGGGATCAGTGCAAAAAGTGCCAGCGTTAAATAGAAAGCTGTTCGATATTCCGTGGAACTCACATTTTGATCGGTTCCTGTTCTTCGAATCAGAGGCAATCGTTCCATTGGTCGAAACGGTTGAAAGGGAAGCAGTGGATGATGACACTGCAGCTGACGATGTGCCATCCGAGAGAATGGTTTGATTAGTTAAAAGACCATTCATTAAATTGGTTCCATCCGCCGACGTTGCACCACTGGCTAACGCGGCAGCCATGGCAGCTGCGGCAGCCGCCTCAGCCTTACGTTTTCTACGTCGTTCTGCTTTGCGTATACTCTTCGGGTCAGGTTGGGTCACACGAAATTCCGTGTAGTCAGCAAACACCACTTCGGAATCAGGCAATTCAGCCAAATCACCACGAACAAAATCACGTAGTTTACGCAATGCAACAAAGAATGGGAGCTTATCCTCAGCACGGGGTAACTGTGCGCAGCGGGCACTGGATGAAGGCATAACAAAGATGATCTGTATCCCGGTAGAGGAGGATGGAGTGACGTTACATGAAAAGAACAAAAGATTATTGTTATTATGGTTATGTTGACTCTGCCGAAAATGCTAGTTGAGAAAACAGTGATTTTTTATTCATTTTTTATTGCAAGCTACATAGAACAGCAACAAATCAAAGGAACTACAGTGAGTGGGATCACACAGTACGATTCTGAAGGAGATAAATAGCAAATCTCAGCACCTATGAGACCGAAGCATTGGTTTGACTTTTGGCAACTATTAGTGTATACAAAAAGCAAAATACGTGACTTTGATGATAAGCGAGCGGAGGAGGAGGAGGATACAAAAACACGAGATCGTGTTGGGAATAAATGGAGCCGCAAACTCACTTAGCTGTTTGAATGGTGGAGCTGAGGGGATAATTGTAGTAACCGACAGCTATACAAATTAATCGAACATAGAGTTACCGCATGGTCTGAATGACCTCAGCGGCCAAAAAGACTTGTGTATGGTGTAACAGAGAGAGACAGAACGAACTTCAATGCTAGGGAAGGCTGAGATGGTTAACAGAGATTAACGCAAAGTTCGGTGCTCAGGTGGCATCCCGTAGAAACTAGTTGAAGTGAACAATGAAATCGAATGCTAATCGGAAAACATGCAACAAGTGGAGTATAAAATTGCGAAATGTTCGATCCACATGTTTCGATTAAATAATAATGAGAACACACAGATTTTTTTGTTAATAACTGCATTGTGGTGGACTGTAAAAGGGATACACGTTATAGTGAAGACAATCAATTGTAGTGGTCATGTGATCGAGAGTGACCACCGGGATTGACGTGGTATCTTTCCGGGAGGCAGTGAATTTGCTCACTAACAAAGATGAACAGTGATCGAAGGTTTCGATACACATACCTCTGAAAAGCACTCGCAGTACCGGTGCTTCATTCCCGTTAATGAGAGAATATCAGCAGTACCTACCTATCCAATCTAATGGAATTCGAAAATGGTCACTTTTTCAAGTGAAAACATGGGCGGCGTATGACTTATCTATTTCTAGAATTTGTCGTA